TTCAACCAAGTGTTGAAAGAAGCTCTATCGCCATGCCACCTACCAGAGGGGTGTTCACTGGTGCAATATATAGATGATTTGCTCATTGCGGCTCCGTCTGCTTCGGCATGTACGGCAGCTTCACTTACCATACTGAAGAGACTCGCTGAGTGCGGGTTCAAGGTCAGTAAAGAAAAGTTGCAGTTGGTCCGACCAGAAGTAACATTTCTGGGCCGTGTCATTGCTCACAAATCAGTGGGTCTGCTAAACACTCATCGTGATCAGATTTTGACACATCAAAAACCACGTACGGTTAAGGAGTTGCTCTCATACTTGGGGTTAACAGGATACAGCCGGCATTTCATTCCAAATTATGCAGGCAAAACAGCCCTGTTGAGGGATTTGGTAAAAACGGCAGGTGTCAGAAATCTTAAGGCTGAACTGCCATGGACATCGGCCACTGAGTCGGCATTTATCGCATTAAAACAGGACTTGTCAAGATCGGCTGATCTTGCTATCCCTAATTATGAACAACCCTTCTATCTTGATGTTTCAGAAACACACGGGATAGCTAATGGGGTGTTGTTTCAGAAAAAAGGGGGAGGAAGAGATGTACTTATGTACGTCAGCATCAGGCTGACGTACTTATGTACGTCAGCATCAGGCTGACGTACTTCTGTACGTCAGCATCAGGCTGAATTCCATTAGAGACAAGGCACCCAACATGCACACAGCATGCCATTGGGGTGTCAAAAATTATACAAAAGACAGCACATATAGTAAGGGACCATCCGTTGAAGGTGCTGACCACCCACAGTGTGGTGGCATATGTTAACTCACAAGCCTTCACCATGACACCTCTTACACAACAGAGAGTGTGTAAAGTTTTAGACGCTCCCAACTTGACCTTCACACATGAAGGAATCAACATGGCAGATTTAATGGGGTCAGGAGGAGAACCTCATGACTGCGCAAAGAGAGCTGAAGTTGATGAGAAAATCAGAGAAGACCTGAAAGCAGAACCTTTGACGGGAGCTGAAGATTGGTTCACGGATGGATGCTGCTACAGAGATGAGGAAGGATTAAAAGCAGGCTACGCGGTAGTTTGCAGAAACGAAGCTGATTTTGAAGTGAAGGAGGCTGGAAGACTTGAAGGGCAGCAGTCAGCCCAAAGAGCAGAAATAATTGCTCTGAGTCGAGCTTTGAGACTTGCAAAAGGAAAAAGAGTCAACATTTACACGGACTCAGCTTATGCCTTTGGAGCAGCTCATGTGGAGCTGGCCCAATGGAGAAGAGCAGGATTCAGGACAGCAGAGAATGCACCAATCTGCCACAAGAAGGAAATGGAGGAATTTGAGCAGGCCTTGGGAGATCCAGAGGAGGTGAGTATCATAAAGTGTAAAGGTCACTCCTCGGGGACTGGCATGGTGGCCAGAGGAAATCAGGAAGCCGATCGAGCTGCAAAAGAGGCAGCGGGCTATGAAGCATCACGGCAGATGGTACAAATAACCGTGCAGGACGAACCAGGAGTCAACATGTTACAGGAAGCCAGGAAGGCTCAAGAGGAGGCGGCCTCAGAGGAAAAGGGGGTCTGGAAGAGTCGAGGAGCCTGGGAAGAAGGAGGTCTCTGGCGAGGACCTGACGGACGACCTGTATTGACAGCCAACTTGGCAAAACGGAAGATTGCCGAAGCGCATGGCCTTGGCCATGTAGGCGTGGCCCAGATGGGGAGACATCTGTGCCACTGGTGGCATCCCTTTTTGAAGGATATGATCAAGGAGAAGGTCAGGACGTGTCTGATCTGTGGGAGGCACAATCCGAAGCCAGTGATTAAACCAGAGGCAGGTAAGTTCCCCATTCCAGAAAGGCCAGGCGAAGAGATTGTCATTGATTTCACTGACATGATTGATCCAGGGCCAGGAGGAGTTCGATATCTACTGGTAAGTGTAGATGCTTTGACAGGCTGGCCTGAGGCATGGCCAACCAATAGAGAGGATGCGAAAAGTGTGATTAAGTGTTTAATCAATCATTACATCCCCCGGCATGGTTTTCCTAAGAAAATTAGGTCAGACAATGGGACTCATTTCAAAAACAAAGATTTGGCAGAGGTAGAGCAGAAGCTGGGGTTGCAACATAGATTTGGCACTGTGTATCATCCTCAGTCGCAGGGGAAAGTAGAAAGAATGAATTTAAACCTGAAGAATAAAATTGCTAAGATTTCTGCTGAAACGGGGCTAAATTGGGTGGCAGCCCTGCCAATTGCATTGATGATAGTAAGATGTTGTGTTAATCAATCCACAGGTTTCACACCATATGAGCTGTTGACAGGACGACAGTTTCCAGGTCCTTGGACAACAGTCCCGGCGGAAGAAAGTACAGTATAAAAAGTAACAGAAAACATATTGAATGTTGGAAAGAATTAAAAGCTCTTGTGTCTAGTTTCACACAACAGGTTGGAGAGGGAGTGAAAGCGGAGGACAGGTCCGTCCCCGATGCCAAGGCGGTGTGGTTGAAGGTCATTAAGCGGAAGTGGAGAGACCCGAGGTGGACCGGACCATTCGAAGTAACTGCCCGAACCACCAGTGCGGTCCGTCTGAAGGGAAAAGGGGAGACCTGGTTCCATTGGTCTCAGTGTGCAGTCGCGGACGAGAGCTTGCTGGAGCTAAGCTCCACCCCAACTAACACAGGGGGGGGAACATAGGGGCAGAATAATCCTCTCCCCCTGTGCACCGGTCCTCACCAGCAGTCCACCTTGGTGATGTGAAGTAAGAAGAGGAGCGTCACACGCCAAGCATTAATTCGTTCTAGGCGTCTAAGTAGGCTAGGGCTCTAGTCTAAAGTAATTGATAGTTTAAAGGAATTGTAATAGTTTTGTACGTTAATCACATATTTTTATACTCATAACTTTATATTTTTATTACGTAGCTTAAAGTACAAGTAAAAAGAGTCTGAGAACATCATGAAATTGTGGGAAAATTGGAAAATAATGGGGATGTTGGGGTTAATAAGTGCTATAACGTGTTTGTTTATTTTTTGGCAGACAGGTGAATTGCCCGGACGCAGAGGTCTATCCGCTCCAGAGTCCAAAACAATCGAGTCGTCGAGAAAATTCAAGCGCGCGGTTGGTTCAGGTGGGAGCGATGAGTGTCTCAAAGCCAGTGGCGGAGTCGAGTTTGGGTATGTTAATGGGTCCACGACGGCGTTCACATTCGATTTGTGTGAGGTAATTAAATGCTCAGGAGACGGTAGTAGCTGGAAAACCTATGATGTGTGGGTTTGTTATCATCCCATGGTGTGTTACCCCAAGTCGGTGTGGGGTCCATCAATGGACGGAGAAATTTACACTTATATAACGGATCAGTGGTGTTCTTGGCAGGATGTGGTTGCGTGGACAGGAGTAGGATGGCAGCCGACAGTGCCACAGGCCCTTGAAGGGATAGCCATTCAGAAAGATTATTCGGTTACAAGTAAACAGAGTACTGACCACACACAGTGTAGTGGCATATGTTAACTCACAAGCATTCACTATGACACCACTGACACAGCAGAGAGTCAGTAAAGTCTTAGACGCTCCAAATCTGACATTCACACATGAAGGAATCAACATGGCAGATTTTATGGGGTCAGGGGAACCGCACGACTGCGCTAAGAGAGCTGAAGTTGAAGAGAAAATCAGAGAAGACCTGAAGGCGGAACCCATTCCGGGAGATGAAGACTGGTTCACAGATGGATGCTGTTACAGAGATGAGGAAGGACTGAAAGCAGGCTACGCTGTAGTCTGCAGAAATGGGACTGAATTTGAACTGAAAGAGGCCAGGAGAATTGGGGGGCAGCAGTCGTCTCAGAGAGCAAAAGTAATTGCATTAAGCCGAGCCCTGAGAATCGCTAAAGGAAAAAGAGTCAACATTTCCACAGATTAAGCTTATGCCTTCGGAGCAGCTCATGTGGAGCTTGCCCAATGGAAAAGAGCAGGATTCAGGACAGCAGACAATGCACCAATCTGCCACAAGAAGGAAATAGAGGAACTTGAACAGGCCTTGGAAGACCCAGAAGAGGTGAGTATTATAAAATGTAAAGGTCACTCTTCAGGGACTGGCATGGTGGCCAGGGGAAATCAGAAAGCTGATGAAGCCGCAAAAGAGGCTGCTGGATATAAAGGACCACGGCAGATGGTGCAAATAAGTGTAGAGGAGGAATCAGGAGTCAACATGTTGGATGAGGCCAGAAAGGCCCAAGAGGAGGCAGCCCCGGAGGAGAAGGGGGTGTGGAAGAGCCGAGGAGCATGGGAGGAAGGAGGTCTATGGCGAGGACCCGACGGACGACCTGTGCTGACTGCAAAACTGGCAAAACAGAAGATCACCGAAGCCTATGGGCTCGGTCATGTGGGTGTGGCCCAGATGGAGAGACATCTGTGCCATTGGTGGCACCCATTTTTGAAAGATATGATTAAGGAGAAAGCCAGGACGTGCCTGATCTGTGGCAGGCACAATCCAAAGCCAGTGATAAAGCCAGAAGCAGGTAAGTTTCCCATTCCAGAAAGACCAGGAGAAGAGATCGTGATCGACTTTACTGACATGATCGACGTGGGTCCAGGAGGAGTCAGGTATTTATTAGTGTGTGTAGATGCCCTGACCGGCTGGCCAGAGGCATGGGCTACAAAGAGGGAGGATGCTAAAAGTGTGATTAAGTGTCTGATTAATCATTACATCCCCAGACATAGCTTTCCCAAATGAATTCGGTCAGATAATGGGACCCATTTAAAAAACAAAGATTTAGCAGAAGTAGAAAAGATTCTGGGGGTGCAACACAGGTTTGGGACCGTGTATCATCCTCAGTCCCAAGGAAAAGTAGAAAGAATGAACCTAAATTTGAAAAACAAAATTGCGAAAATTTGTGTACAAACGGGGCTAAATTGGGTTGCAGCCCTGCCCATTGCATTAATGACCATAAGGTTTTCTGTTAACCAATCCACAGTTTTCACGCCGTACGAGCTGTTGACAGGACGACAGTTTCCAGCTCCCTGGACAGCAATCCTGGCTGAAGAAAGCATAAAAATAACAGAATGCATGCAGAATATTGGAAAGAATTACAAGCTCTTGTGTCCAGTTTTACGCAACAGGTTGCAGCAGGAGTGAACACGGTGGACAGGTCCACCCCCAATGCCAAAGCAGTGTGGTTGAAGGTCATTAAGCGAAAGTGGAAAGAGCCCAGATGGACGGGGCCATATGAAGTGACGGCTCGGACCACAACAGCGGTCCAACTGAAGGGGAGAGGCGAGACCTGGTATTACTGGTCTCAGTGTGCAGTAGCCGATGAGAGCTTGGTGGAGCAAAGCTCATCTTCAAATAACACGGGTGTTAAAAAAGAAACAGAGGCAGAATAAGTCCTCTCACCCGTGCAACGACCAACCATTAGTCTACCTGGAAGGTTGAAGTAAAAAGAGGAGGATCGCAGAGAATCACTCGACCCAAAGAGGGGGTGACAAAGAGGCGTGAAGCTTAATAGGCTGGGGTTCCAGTCTAAACTTAAAGGAGAGTATGGGAACCAAAAATATGGGGTTCTAGGGTAATTGGAAAATAATTGGGGGGTTTGCATGTGCAAGTGTTTTAATATGTTTGTTTTTTGTTTGACAGACAGGTGAATTGCCCAGATGCAGAGATCCACCCACTCCAGAGTCCAAAATGATTGAGTCACCAGGAAAATCTAAGCGTGAGGTCTCAGGTAAAAGGGATGAGTGCCTCAGTACATATAGTGGGCTAGAGTTGGACTACGTTAATGGGTCCACCACTTCATTCACATTTGTCTTGTGTGATGTTTTTGATTGTAAGGGAGCGAACAGTAGCTGGAGAGGATTTAATGTGTGGGTGTGGTGGGATTATGCAGTGAATACACATCAAATCAAATCAAAATACTTTTATTATCACATCACATGTGCAGGTACACTGGTACAGTACATGCGAGTGAAATTCTTGTGTGTGAGCTTCACAAGCAACAGAGGTGTGCAAAAAATACAATAACATAAAACAAGGAAAGTATAAGAATGGCTAAATCTAAGAGTAATAAATATATGTACAATATAAGAGTGTATGCATTACTGAATGTGTGTACTAAATATGTTTTTCTACGGTTGTGTGTGTATGTGTGTATACATATTTTACAAAATAAATAGAGTAAACAATAAATAAAATATATAAAATATACAGAGGTTGGTAGTTGGACATGTGCAAAAAAAGTGGCATTTATATACAGTCTGGAGTGCATAATGTTGAAGTTCCAGTAGTGGAGGTGAGGTGTCTATGAAGTGTTCAGCAGTCTGATGGCCTGATGGAAGAAGCTGTGTCTCAGTCTGCTGGTTCGGGACCGGATGCTGCAGAACCTCCTTCCTGATGGAAGTAGTCTGAACAGTTTATGGCTGGGGTGACTGGAGTCTTCGATGATCCTCCCCGCTTTCCCCAGGCAGCGCTTCCTGTAGATGTCTTGGAGGGAGGGAAGCTCACCTCCAATTATCTGTTCAGAGCACCGCACTACTCTCTGGAGAGCTTTACGGTTGTAAGCGGTGCTGTTGTCATACCAGGTGGTGATGCATCCAGTGAGGATGCTCTCAATGGCACAGCGATAGAAGGTCCTGAGGATGCAGGGGCTCATGCCAAATCTTTTCAGTCTCCTGAGAAAGAAGAGGCGCTGCTGCGCCTTCTTCACTGTTTTGTTTATGTGTCCTGACTAGGGATGGGTATTGTTTAGGTTTTATCCAAAAGTGCCAAATCGGTACTTTTGAAACGGTGCCGGTGCTCAAACGGTGCTCAAACCGGTGCTTAAAGAATGGAAAACACAAAATTGGTCCAAAAACCTCTCATGTTCAGCTGGTTTTTTTAAAAAGATAATAATGTTAGCCTTTTCTGCAGCTATAGGGCATATATGGTATCACTCTTGGCTGGAAGCAGTGCTTAAACAATGGAAAAAACACAAACTTTGTCCAAAAACCTCTAATGTTTAGCCGTTTCCCTCTTTTTCTTTGGTCATTTTAGCCTTTTTGGCCAGGGTGAAGGGTGTATCTGCCATCAAACAAGAAGACAGCCGCATGTAGCTATGATGATGTTTGCTAGTTCACCTTACGTGCATTAATGTAATAACGTGGTTAGCCTACTCAACGTAAATTACACACGAACAACATTAAGCTACTCATGCAGAGAAGAACGGCTGCTGCTGCATCATCATCCGTCATCATTTCTGCTACACTGGCAGGGCTAGGGGCCAGGACTCTCCTCTTCGTGTTTTTGGGGATGTTGCTAACTCCGGGTCTGATAACAGGCACCACACCCGCAGTAGATGCGCTCGGTGTGAGGTCTCGCAGCAAGCTATCAAATACAGCGCATTTCTTGGCTTTTAAAAAAAAAAACGCTATGCGTCGCCAGGTGTTTCATCGGATTCGAGGTGTTACCTCCTTTGACAGTATCACAGTATCAGCTTAAAGCACTTGTTGCTGCTGAGTTTGCATATTTTGCTGTGAAGTACAGCCAGACTTTTGCCCGCTTCGCCTTGGGCATTTTTAATCTGTAGCTCTGCTCTAAAAGAACGTACGTACCTGGACCCGCCTACTATCCTCGGAAACGTAAAATGATTGGCTAGAAGTGTATCACAGCTCAGGAAAAAAAAGCACCGAAATAAAGCACTGAAATGTGCGCTGCTTTTCGGTCTGGTTAC